AGGAAACAATCTGTAGAATATGGAGCCCCAAATGACAACACGCCACTTCCTGTGGATACTGACGCTTTCTGGGCCTCATCTAAAAACAAAGAATTGTTGTAAGCTTACTTTTTTGAATGGATATCCCGGAAAGAGGATTCATTCACTGCGTCTTCTATCATTTATCTCGGTGGTGTAGTAAAAGATGGTCAGCCAAGATGTTTTGCTATTGAAAACGGGATAGTTGAAGAAGAGCCTACTTTGGAACCCGAACATGAAGAAGCCGATGACAGGATCTTAAGCCATATTTCTCACATAACATTGTCTTCAAAATTAAGCAACGTAGTTATCTGTTCTACTGATACGGATGTTTTTGTTAGTGCACTCTATCAATACCTACAGAAGTGGAAAAGCTTAGGACTTAAAGAGCTGTGGATTGCTTTTGGAGTAGGCAAAACATCGCGGTACATCCCACTTCACTCCTTTGAAGACAGAGTACCACTTACTGTTTTAACAGCTTTACCAGCCATTCACTCTTTAACCGGCTGCGACACTACAAGCAAGGTTAGTACGAAATTAGCAGCTTTAAAAACAGCTGAATCCTGTGCAGGAGACCTCTTGGTAGAGTTTGGAAAAGGGCCATTAAATGAGGACATGGAAAAAAAAGCAGAAGAATTTTTGGTTCGAGCACTTTCTTCAAGTTCATCAACAATGGATAAATTGCGTTTTCATCAGTTCCATCACAAGAAACTACGAAACTTTCAAGATTTAGCACCAACCTCAAGATCTATCCGTCTTCATATAAAAAGAAGCTACTTGCAATGTTACAAATGGATCCATGCTTTGGAACCATCTGAGAAACTTAATCCCTTGGACTATGGTTATGTAGAGGAAGGTGATTCTCTGATTCCACAAGTGACAGATGATCCAACGTTCCCTGAAGATTTCCCTAAGCCATGTAATTGCCAGACGTGTTTCAGAGAAACTGTATGTCCCTGTAGAAGATTGAAAGTAATGTGCTGTGACTTTTGTAAATGTAAGAGTAGTGTTTCAGACAATTGCAAGAACCCTCATACATAATTTTGCAATTCTTGTTCTTGATAAGATTTGAAACCCTAAGTTTTGGAAGACTATGTCTCTATATAACTTTTATCAGTAGGTAAATAGTAATGTCTCTATGTAAGTTAATAGTAAACATATATTTTAAACACACGTTTAAGTCTTTTAATATATTTTTTATTGATAGTTTTAAGCTTTTGGAACGAATGGACGCATTAACCAACAATTATTTCCACAACGTTACTGGAAATATTTTAAATGTTAATTTATCTTAATAAATAATGGGTTTAGCAAAAAAGTGTAAATACAAGAATTGTTTGCAATCACATAAGGAGTAAAATGAGCTTTAGAAAATTAAAATCGGACCACTGGGTGCGGAGATACGTATTAGCAAATAATCTAGCGTTTTGGCGGCCATTTTCCAATATGGCGGCCAAACGACCATGATTTGGACCACGTGACCAGTATTTTTTTTAGCTCCCAAAGGTGTTAAACAAAGCCCCACAACAAAACTGGGGGCACATTAAAGTGCACACGGGACTTGGCCTAGCTCCTAGACTATATGGGAGTAAGGAATCTGTTACCAATACTAACTAGTGTACATTTTGCTCGAATTCGAGCAATTGCAAGGTACTGGTATTACAGAAATTATTTCAAAACAATAACAGTAATATTTACAATGAGTTTAAAAGAGTCTACTCAAAGCTTACTGGTGTGTATCATATGGAGATACTCACGATGTACATAACAGTAACCAACATTTCCTGTAAATATTTTATCATATTTCATAACCTGTTATTGCTTTTTAATGTTTTCTACAATCATTTCCTGACTTATAGCCGCATAAGGTTGTCCATGTTTATCTTCGTTATTGATAAACCTATGCATGATACCACCCTTGTCGCCAGCTATAAGTTTACAAATTTAAGTAATTCTTTAATAAGGATAGAATCTGTTTTCATCACCATAAGGACTTCCTGTTGTCTGCCACAATTTTATTTGTTCAATTGGTGTATTTTTTGTTTAGTTGCAATAACGTTAGTTATATTTACCTGAGAAAATGCAAAGTTAAAGACCTTCTGTTGTTCAGTTGATTTTTGTTTCCCTTAGCATTATATGAATAATAAGCCTTCAGTAAAATGTTGGTAAGGGGCTCTTGGATATTTTCATAGGCTATTATTAAAATTGCTTGACTTTTATGAAAACATAGATTAATGTCATTGACGTACCAGATTTATTTGGCTTTAGAGGGCTTTCCTCTGAAATTATCACTAAGTTAAGTCCATGTTTCCTAATAAAATTTGTAGCACTTCGGCTAACCCTCGGTCATAGTTTGTAGGAATCTGAATCTTGTAGGTGTTCTTCATTATACAGGCTAATGACGATGGTTAATTCTTTAAAAAAAATATCTCTATTTCTTCTACTATGGGGCGTTCTATGACTTTTAATGTTTCTATAATTTGCAAATGGGTTCTTTCAATGATTTATTTTTTAAAGATCTAATTTTTGTATGACGCTTTTCTTTGAAATGCAGCTTAAATATTGACAGCAATTAAACTATATAGCTGATCAAAATTTTAACATTTATGATCTTCATAAGGATAACATGGGAACCTTTAAAGCCACTGGGGTAGAGCCCAAGGGACTTTTTCAAATCCAGTTCAAGGCCAGTTTGCAAATCTACGTGACAGCTCTTTCCAATGATACGTCAATGGATAAAATCGGTTAAGAAATGACGGAGGAGTTCAACCGACAAACTTCGTGTACGCGTATTAATTATATAGATATACGTATCACGTTTCGTTTAGCCTACAGGCAGGAAATGTCGCTCATTACTAAAATATTAATTAATTCTTTTAATAATGACTCTAGAGAAGAGTTAGAAAATTAAAAGTTGTAGAACAATACAGTTAACAAAAGTGGTCCTGTAACATTTGGTCATAACTTGAACCCATATGACATTATGGATCCTTTCATGTTCTGGAATTCTCGGCGAGTGCCCGAGCTGCTCCAGCAAGGTGGTTTGGTTGAGCCTGTTTTGGAAAGTGGATAAAAATGTACACTTACACGCCCATTATTGTTAAAAAATTGCTTAAGCCGTTATAACGTTAAAATGTGTATAAAGAAATATGAGCTATAACTGTATTCAGTGAGTGTTTGGATTTAAGCACCCCTCCCCCCTGCTATCTGCTCAATATTGCAAGCAGACAACTGCATTGTACACCTAGTGTAAATTACCTAAAATGTAAAGTTAAAACTGTGAAACACAGGAACGTTTCTCATCCAAAGTCCCCGTGCAATCTCTAGTGTTCACTTGGTAATACATGTGTATTACAAAGTATAGGGTGTTTTCAACTCCCCACGTGAGTGTTAACGTTTCGTAAAAAGTACAAGTTCCTGTATAAGGTAATGTTTTTCTTTTTGCAAAAGACTCTAAAAGTAATGAAAGGACATTTTTTATTTACATTTATTTCGATAACAAACAAGTGTTTTTGACATATAAATAAATTTGTTTGCACAAAACTTGTGTGTATTACGATCCCCCCCCCCCCTAAAAACTGTTTTTTTAGTAGTACGTTTTAGGGAAAAATAATACCTTTACCATTCACAGACATAATATAATCTTTTAAAAATTATATATTTTCCGGGTAGTACATATGCTAGTTATTCAATATCAAACAGTTCAATGACAAAATACATATTTTTTAATACAACAAATGGTTTATATGCAAAACTTGACCAAATACACACACACAAATTGCAGTTGGTAAAAGAAATATATTATTTACATTGTATAACTTAAAATAAATAACTCTTTCATATTGGAAAAAGTATACAGTAAAATAAACTTAAATAACAACAAAAAATGTTATTTACCAATTATTATTAGTGTTAATACAATTATAACAAATATGTAATAACGGGGTGTCAAAAACACCCCACGCGAGTACATACGTTAGTAAAACCCGCGCGAGTAGTTAAAGGTTAAAGTATACCTTTAGCATAGAAGTAAGAAGTATAGCAATTAATTAATCTGTAAGTATATAACAAAATTACATAATCGTTTGACAGGCGACGGTAGGTATATAGATACAATGATGCGGCAAAGGCTGCTGACAGTATTACAGCGGAGCGGACAGCGCAGGAACTTGTGGCGCTGACTGTACTACACATTCCACTTGGAGATATGAGACTCCACTCAACTTTTGGAGTTATGAGACTCTGGTTTAATTTTTACTTGGACTTATGAAACTTTGGAGTTATGATATCTTGGACTTATGAAACTTTGGAGTTATGATCACTTGCACTTATATTTTTCTTGGAGTAATGAAATTATCCCTTTTCGGGTACTTGTAGTTGTGAAACTTTGGATTAAATATAATTTGGAGTTATGATCTCTTGGACTTATGAAACTTTGGAGTTATGATCACTTGGAGTTGTGAAACCTTGGAGTTATGAGATGATCCCCAATCTACTCTCTCCCACATTGCAGAACAATACACACCTAAGTATGTGTCACTGTCTTGAATTATCGATTATCAATTGAAATGGAGGCGTAGCCAAAGAGTGAAGAATGAATGTAGAATAGAGTAAAATGATCTGTGTAGCATTTTTACTGACTAAGATCAGCTGTTTCATTAGCCTGGATCATTTATTTAAAGACCTATGGTTAGGAACAGCTGGATCCAGTTTTGAATGATCTAAAAGCTAAAATGACTTTTCTCAGGATCGATGGCAACCTTTTGATTGTTAGGTGAGAACTTTAACCACTCAGCTACCCAGGTGGACTGATAAGATAATGATATCTCTTGTACGAGATGCAGCAGTGCACGTTTCTCATGATGCAGAAACTTTTGTTAGCTAAACTTTATTCATTAATAATTTTCCAGGTAACATTTCACAGTCCAGCTGAGCTACCCGCTCTAGCTCATCCCTCAACGTACGTACGCACAGATCACCAAACCATGGTCAAAATCACCCCTGACATCAAAGTTACTGACAAAATCCTGAGAAAATGGACCCCTGCTCAAAGAGGATGTTTCTTTGAGGACGAGCGATTCCTCAAGTTCTTCAATATATACACAGAGAAAAACTGTGACCTCGAGTGTGAAGCGAATATTTCTTTGTCGAGGTGTGGATGTGTGCCTTTTTACGCCCCTCGTAAGTGTGGTTTGACTCAATTAAGAAGCAAAATTATTTTGATTGTTTGAAATTGGACCCACCTGCCATTGATCATGGGATGTTAATTAATGGTGTTGGTTCAATAATCAGTTGATCCTACCTGGGATAAACCTTTGACTATTGATACAACTAGACATGCCATCCCCACGTTAAACGTTTTTTTTATCGAAATCATTGTAGTTGATGCGAGCCACTGACCGATTGTGCTTATGTCAATTCATAATTTCTCTATATATTTAATACACAGTTGTAAGTCTGTTTTCTCAGTGACTACTGGACCGATATACAAGATTTATGTGCCAAATTGAAGGCAATAATGCGCAGATTTGCCGAATCTCCTTAGTATATACGTTTTTCTAAGGGCTACGACATTCAGCCCTTCAAAGGCCGAGTCATTACAATTTTTATTGAAGAATATGAAATTAGTTATAGCTATAAACCATTTGTAGGCTGTGAGTTATTTGTTATTATTTTTATAACAGAACCGTCGAATTAAAAAAGTAAAGAACAGTGATGGTGTTTAATATGGTCTGGGAGTCCCTACAAAAAATCTGACTCTTTTGAATTGGGATCGTTAAATTGGATTTGTCAATACTGCAAATCTATGAATTTTTCGAGACACAACAGACTAAGAGGGGCACAAATACATTGTCCTCATGTTGTCCCAAGGGGAAGGTAAAATTTGCTCCTTATCAACATTCTGAGTTCATGGAAAATCTTATCAACAGGGGGGCTACATCCAATGTAAAAGAAACAAAAACGCTTTCAAAAACCTATTTGAATAATATAACATCATACAACTATACAATTTGTAATGGTGAGTTCTGCTGAGTCTCACTTAGATGATTCAAAATCTGATGATCTATATAATTTTAAGATCAACGACTCCTTTTACCATAAGATTGGTCCGTTAATACCCTCTAACATTGTTTTTTATTGATGACATTATTCCCGTGGCGGAGCACGGGTGGTTAACTAGTTTCTGTTAAATACACAAACTTTTTTCCAATTTTAACTGATGGAATTACTCATTGTGAGCTGTAGCAACTGATGACCCATCAACAAAAATTAAGATAGAAAATACAATTATAGACACTAGCGAATTCTGTGACTAGCTCACTCAACTACGTTCTTTTTAATAAAAACTGGTCCATATGGATGGGAAGTCTAATTCGGAACACAATAGTCAATGACTAAGCCAAACATTCAATACATTCCCCATTCATCCTTCACACTCATATTCAGGTTCATGGTGTTCCTGACTTGGTGTAATAATAACAAGGTTGAAATTATAGTTCTACATGTGTTTGCCAATTTTCCTGGAAATTGGCTAATCCTGGAACTATGAATCGACGAATTTGCAGTCATCTTGTCGATTTGAGGGCCTCACGGCGGCCATCTTGGAAAAACCCGACTTCCGGTTGTCCGATTTTGGTAGACTTTTTTCCTGGTACTTTCTACACCTATTACTACCAAAAACCGTCGAAAAACCATTTGTTGGAATTTGTTCTATCTCAAGTGCCTATATTTACTCGACTAATGTTTTTCTTCTCACTTTTAATTACTGACAACAGCTGGAGTTTCATAACAATTTTTGTTTCCCATGTTAATCTTATGGAGAAATACAAAACTTTAAAGGGCCCCAGGGCCTCATTCTAAAATTATTTTGATAAAAAGAAAGTTTCCTGCACAACTTCACGTTACGCTCTTTCCAATGACACCAAAAACATGTCAATCAGTTCAGTAGTTTCGGAGGAGTAATTGTCACAAAAATCCTGCTTGCGTATTAAATAAGTACTAGTGGTCGTCCTGTGGTCGAAACTCGACCAAAAATAATTAATGTACAGACTTCTCTATTTTCTCCCCACACTGTAAATAAAACATGTGATTGGAATTTCTTACCTTTGTTTTGATTTTCTGTTTACATTTTGTTGTTATTTCGTCACCATCATGGCAACTCATATGGTCCATGTTAATTTTTTGAAGTTTTCAAATTCATTTTTTGTGCTTATTTGTTAGCCTATTTTAATTTTTAAAGGCATTCTGCACATCTACAGGAAAATATCTTTCTAACAGTATGCGTAGATTTTCCCTGCGATGCACACGAGCTGAGAAAAAAGGTTTTAAAGAAACATGCTTGCCTATTAATATATAGATAGAAGATAGATAACCGTATGATATATTTGCAAAAACAACTGCTATCAAATAATTTTGGATCAGATCAACTTTGTTTGGTTTAACTCATCCAAAAGTAATTATTTAACCAACTAGCATTACAGTTTTAAATAAAATAGTTACTTGACCTCCTTATACTTCATAAATTTGTTTTCCAGGTACAAAGGGCATTCCAGTTTGTGGACCTTTAAAGCAACCATGTGTCCTGGAAAGTATAAGTAAGTATTTCAATAGCTTTTGACTTTTTTAGCGAATTTCCCTATAGGGAAGTAGCTATTACCGTAGGTGGCACGGTAAGACCTAGACCCGGGACCGATTTACTTTTTCATTTTGATGTCCCCAGAGGCCAAAAACACTAGTCGTTCAAATTTTTATATATGTATATATATATATATATATATATATATATATACGTCCGTGAACGCGATAACTTGAGTAATTTTTGTCCGATTTTGATGAAATTTGGTTTAAAGGTGTAAAGCGGGATAAACTTGAATGAGTTCGCGAACCAGCACGATCGGACCATGGGAACGGGGCTTTACGGGGGGTTTTATGGGGTAAAAATTGGTTTTTCTCACTTTTGACCCTCAAAACACAAAATTTCCCAATTTCTCTTTAGACCTTTTTAAAGAGCTTAAAAAAACAAATAATTTAGTATATAAAAGTATTTTTGTTCAAATATTAGTAACGGAGAAAATTAAAAAATTGTAAATTTAAAATTCCCATGTTATTCTTATGGAGAAAATTGTCAAATGTTGTAGTTTGCTTGTTTATGAATATATTTTGATCAAACTTATTTGAGCAAATTTATTTATTTTGTACTAAGCTATCAATATTTTACTCAAAAACACACTTTATTAGTTTCCTTGTAGCAGCAAACCTAGGTACTCGTTAAACCTAATGTTATTAAAATATATTTAACTGAAAATCAATTCAGACAAATGGAAATTCGCTTAGTCAGCAGGTTTGCTGCGGCGGGGGTATTATTGTATAGGAGAGCACTTCACCTTTGCCTTCTCCTTGGTTTTTGACCTGCAGAAATGCATGGAGTGAAGCAAAACGTCAAGAGAATGAAAAGTTGTAGCAAAATTGAATATTTATGCTACAACTATTGTTAAATCCTTAACGGGGTTGGTTATAGGTACAGCACAGAACTTCGGCCGCTGAGGTCCCGGGTTCAAATCCCGCGCCAAGTGGATTTTATATAAGTGATAATGCTGCAACCCCTAGGTCTAGCCTGAAGTAATGTGAAAAACAATTCCGGGCTTGTGCCTAGCGTCTTAGGACAAAGAAGTCCTCAACTATATGGGTTTTATTACCTGTCATGCAGTTCCAAAAGTAACAAACGTGTTACATGTTTCGGCAAGAAGCTATCATAAAACACTTCAGTCCAGGAATTATATTGCTTGATTAGCTTTGTTGATGTTTAAAAAGGACACACATTCACGCACAGGACACACAAACAGATACAAAAAATCTGGTAATGTTGTGTTTCTGTGATTGGCTTATTTCTTTACAAAAACTGATTATTTCTGTGTCGTATCCGTATGTGTGTTGAACGGGTGTCCGTATTCAAACATCAACGAAGCTAATGAAGCAGATTAAATTTATCCACTCGTCTGAAGTGTCTTACGATGGCATTCCGCCAAAACACGTAATATGATTGTTACTTTTCGAACTGCATATGACAGATCATCAGAACCCATATAATTTTCAGGTTCGCGGCTATCAAAATTATTTATTATAAATCCTCAGCATCGCTGCAATGATTCAAAATCTTGTAACTTACCTAAACTTTTTTAAGGAAAACTGTAAATTAATTTAGTTTACTATAAAAAAACCTCTAATTTAAAAATATTATTATTGCTTAGAGGGCTTGAATTTCTTTGTAAATAATTTCTACCCCAGTAAATTTAAATGTTATTCTATAATTGAAATAAATAAAAACAACTTACAACACTTTTTACTCTGAAAAGCACACAAAAATGCATCGTTTAAAAAGTTGAATACATTTTTTTTACTATGAATTTTTTAAAGTGTATGAAAACAGTACTTTAATTGTTTAGTTTTGACTCAGTTCACAAAATGTGACATCTGATTATTATTTTTTATTATTTTAGTTATTTTTTTACAAGCTATCAAATCAATTTCAGGTAAATTGCTAGACCCTCTGTCTACAGGCTGTAACTGTAAGCCATCTTGTTTTGAGATAAACTACAAAATAGATGTGGCTTACTATCCGAGGAACTGGACAACAGCAACTACCAAAGGGTTCAAATTTGAAGGTGTTGAACAAATCTTGGAGTAAGTAAATTTAAATTACCTATAGTTATCTTTTTTGTAAATCCGTCAGAAAGTAACTGATTATGAAGGGATAAGTACTTAATCCACTGGCTGTGGTATAACTTTAGAAAACATTGAGCTCATAGCTTTTCCTGAAGGCTCAATGGTAAAACATCCAGGCCCACAGCTTGCATGTGATGTGCTATGACCCCGAGATAATTGCCATCTAAGCTAACCTACCTTTTGGTGAAATTTTTCTCTTCCTTCCTTGCGTCCCCAACAAACCTTAAGCATCTTGCGCCCTTGTTCTGGGCCCACTGTGCTCATTTAAAGCCTTGAACACATCCACTGATACTGGTGTAAACTATGTAAAATGCTGTTAACACTCCCAACATTTGCTCCTTCAATCAGCAAAGTTTATAGTTTTGAAATTATTTGTTTGACAAAAAATTTTGCCAGTTATAAATGTGAGTGTACAAAACACAACAAACACTATAATATATTTTAAATACCCCCGTAGGAGTAAACCAGCAGACTAAGCGGATTTCCATTAGTTGTTTACTTTTTCTCTATAAGAATAACATGGGAATTTTTAATTTAAAATTTTGAAATTTTCTTTCTAAACAATAACCGTACAAAAGGACTTTAATATACTAAATTATTTGTTTTCCAAGCTTTTCAAAATGGTTTAGAGAGATATTGAGAAATTTTATGTTTTGAGAGTAAAACATTGAAAAAATATATTTTTACTTAATAAAACCCCCCATAATGGTTCACATGGTCCGATCATGCTGGTTCGCAACTCATTCAAATACATGTAGGTTTACAAGTTATTTTCTAAATTTTATCAAAATTGGATGATGTTTGCTCGAGTTATTGTGCCAATGGATGTATATGAATTTGATAGGATGGTGTTTTGACCTCTAGGCACATCAAAACAAAAAATTAAATCGGTCCCAAGTCCCGGTCTTACCATGATACCTAAGGTATTAGCAGTATTATTAGGTGTTATTAGGTAGTATTATTAGGTGATATAAGGTATATTCCCTATGTGAGAAATTTGCTAAATGTGATTTGTAAGAAAGACATAATTTTCAGGAACAATTATGCACATTTGACAGTCCAATATCAGACACAGAAGGTAACTGCCATGAAGCGGATTGCAGTGTTTGGACTGAGTGACTTCATAGGTAAATATTTGTTTTATTATTTATTAAATACAATTAACAAGAAATGTATAAACTCATACTTTGATAAAGGTGTCACACACCTAGGTGGATAAATTAGCTGAATACAAGGTGAGTGTAGAATGGAGATGATAAGTGTAGCTTTGTTACTTGATCAGCTGTTTATTTTCAGGACCATTTTTCAAGCCCAATGATCAAGAACAGCTGGATTCAATTTTGAAACATTCAAATGACTTTTTTTCAGAATTGAATTGACAACCTGGAAGGGATTGATCTCTTCCTTGCGTCCCCAACTTATCTAAAACACAAGCGTCTAGGCAGCCAGAGCAACTCCGAGGATCGTGGATCAGAACACCCCCCACCACCGCACCATGTTGTACGCTTTCGAATCATACCGGCGCATCAGCATAGCCTAACTGTTGGCGGATAATTGTTATTTCTATCACTGTCGCTGTCAAAACGTATCGTTTGTAGCTTAAATTTAAATTAAAAGTAATTAAACTGTCATAACCTAACCAAACTAACCAAACTTGCTTATAATGAAAAACTCGAATGAAGGTTTACTAATCAAAAAAATAGTTCTGTTCTAAAAATAAAATTATAAAAGTCTTAAATTCAATTTTTTAAATTTTTAATTATAAAATTAAACTGTCATAACCTAACCAAACCAACCAAACTTGCTGATATGAAAAAAATTGTTGACAAAAAGTTAGTGCTACCGCTACCAGCGGGATTCGAACACGGCACCTATCGATTATCAGCCCGACACGCTATCCACTACACTACCAAGGCTCATGACTTAGCTCTGTATTGTTGCGGTAATGGTTGACGTCACGCCATCGGCACGGAGCGGTGGTGGGAGGTTTTCTGATCTGATCCACGATCATCGGAGTTGCACTGGCTGCCTAGATGCTTATATTTAATACCTCTCACTCACCCTGGGCTCTTTTACCAAAGCTGTTTCTACTATATTACCTAAATATTTTGTGTATACATAAATTTACATAAACAACAGAATTACCTCAACGTAAATTTCACTTATTTGTGGGTTTCACGAAAATAAATAATTAATAAACTAAAGCTAATAATCATATTAATTTATTTTCCAGCTAACATCGGAGGCCTCCTAGGACTATTCTTGGGATTTAGTTTCCTCAGTTTGTTTGAAATCTTCTACTTTTGTACTCTGCGGTTCAAAAATAAGAAAGGTAACAGTAACTCCAACATAAGAAAATTACAACGTAAAATATTATCTATATGTATAAATTGTAAAAAAAATTGTGACTGTTATAACTGTATTTTAGTCTACTGCAGACCAAATACTACCAACACACACACTTTCAAATTTTGTAAAATAAACAGGTTAGAGAAGAACAAATATTGTTCAGCTCTTATTGGAAAAATTGGACCAAGTTAAGTCAAACTTAGCTCTACTTCTCCAATTTATCTAGAAGTATTGCAAAAGTAATAATTTTGCCATATGTATCCATCAGTTTCTTCAATAAAAATGTGTCAATTTTCAGTTACTTTTTTAGATGAAGAGTGTTTTAAGCCAATTAGAGAGACTCATTTAAACAAGTTTGATCAAAATGACAGAATAATACTTGTAGACGGAACTAATAAAACAGACTCTCAACATCGACATAATATTCTTATAAAACTAGATAATCAAAACAATCAATGCTGAAATTTTATTGACTGAACTGCCGTATTTTATATCTTTATCTGTAAAAATCTTATATTTAACTTATTATCTTATATTATTAATACACGGCAGGTAATTCTAAGATGCTTCCCACCAACCAACATCAGATGGATGCCGACTCATTAGACAAACCACAGCACGAGATTTCGCAGCCGACCCTCCACAGCATCTTGTGTGTGTCAAGTGAAGTGCAGGCTGTTACGCCCAATCCAAGCGCTAGTCCCTCCCGACACCTTGCTCCTGGCCCACATTCCTATGTGGAAGTGATACAGGGCAGTGCAAGTGTCAGTGTCAGTAATGTGAATCAAGTTTATACTGCAGGTTCTGGAGATGGTGTTGCTTCATCAAATATTCCTGCTTTAGAAATTTGCCCAGAAAAGAAGCAGAAACTATAAATCCAGCAAACAATTTGATTCACCAGCAAACACTATTAACAAAAGTAACATTACCTCAAAAATACAACTCTCTCCTCCAAGGGGTGAATAAAAAAGTTGAAGAACTTGAATTGTTTATTTTATATTTAAAATATATTGTAATGTTGAAATTGTATGTATGAAAGAGCACTGTGTAAAAAAGATAGTAGCTATTTGCTTAAAAGAATGTTAAACCTTAGTTTGGCAGATGGCTATTTTAGAGAAAAATTGGAGGGAGGTTCTGTTATATTAATCCATAACTCTTTGACTTATGTTGTAAGAAATGATTTTTAAAAGATATTTAAAGAAGAATTTTTAGTTGGAGGATAATTTATTCAGATTAATTCACGAGTAATATTAATAGTATCAATTTATAGAATACCTGGCAATAAAGTTACAAAGGAATTCCTAAGGAAGCTTAATAATTTGTTTAAATTATATCAAAAGAAAAGAAATTTATTTAAATTCAAATGGCGTCAGATATTGATTTATTGGTTAAGGATACAAATCCAGACCGATTTCCGAATATTGTTAGTAGATATGGTTATAATGTACATTGTTTTGAAGCTACCAGAACCAATCAATCAGTTTCTTTATTGAGATTTCTTCAAGAAATGCAATAGTGTCATATTTGAATTTTCATCTTGCTTGACAATTTTGATCGATGAATTCCTATAGTAAATAGAATGGTTGATCCATTAGCCAGTCTTTGAGTTTCCTCTTGAGGTCTTGATTTCTTAAGGTCTTCAAGTGGTTGGGCAGGCTATTGAAGACCTTTGTCCCATGTAGTGCTTCCTGCTGTATTGAGTTGTATGTTTTGCTGGGTAGTCTGTAGCTCTTCGAGTGTTGTGAGAGTAAGAATATTTTCCTCTTGTATGTTCACTCTATTGAGTATAGTTAATCATTGCAAGGATGTATAGTGATTCACAGTCGTGGTTTTTAGTGATTTATAAGCTTCCCTGCAGCTTTCTTTAGGGCTGAGGTCAGCTAGCGTTATTGTAGCTTTTTTCTGAAGTCGCAGTATTCTTGTAAGGTTCTGATCTGTGGTTCCACCCCAGACCACTAATCCATATCTTTTGTGGGACTCTACTAAGGCATAGTATGCAGTATTAGTTGCCTCCTGTATTCCTATCAGTTTAATTCTACACAGTACATAAATTCCAGATCCTAGTTTTTTGCTCAGGCTATTTACATGTTCTGTCCAAGAGAGTTTAGCATTGATGGTCATGCCTAGTAGTTTGGATTGTTCATTGGCAGTGATATTGGTATCTTCAGTTGTCTGCAGCTGTCTTCTGCTGTAATTTATTTGCATAGTTTTTGTTGGACTTATTGCTAAGTCATTTTGAAGACAGTACGTTGTTGCTTTATTGGTTAGTTCTCTGAGTAGAGTCCATGAGTTGTATCATTCTTAATAATAAATGTTGTATCATCAGCATACATATTTGGCATGATCATTATAAATAAAGTCTGTGAAGTCATTAGTGAAAAGTATAAATAGAAGAGGACCAAGACCCGAACCCTAAGGAACTCCCATGGTGGTAGTTTTTGGGCTAGATCTGATGGTGTGTCTTGTTCCATTTAATGTTTTTTGTATTCAAACTATCTGTGCACAGTCTTCTAGATAGCTTGCTATCCAGACAAGGGCTTTGCCTTTAATCCCTAGTAGGAGTAGTTTGTTAAGTACAAGCTTGTGACCTAAGCAGCCAAATGCCTTAAGGTCTTTTCTGGTTATTTTATAAGGTAGACTTCTGTTACTTTTATAAGTTTTAGTTTAGGGTTAGTTTATATCGTAACGCCACTCCAGTCTTTGTACTTTGTGCATTGTAAAAATCTGATGAGTGAATAAAGAAAATATTTGTACTGATATGGAATTTTCCACAAATTAAAGCGATAATGAGATGAAGATTAAATAAATTATGAGAGTGTATAAATTTCCTGTATAATTTTTCTTTTTGTTTTGACCATATATTTCGATAAACAACAAAACCTAAAAAAAAGTCCATGTTCAGTCCTGACTTCATTACCTGAATGAATATATAGGACAAACAAAGAATGATAACTTTTTACAATAAATTACACAATGTTAAAACGAAAGCTAGGAAATAAAAATAAAATAACACCTCTGTCATTTTTGAGGGGGTGTATCATCTGGGAATCCTTTAATCATGACAACTGTTGTGTACAAAACTCCAGTAACAAGGCCAATAACTGCTAGGACAATGGAAAAGAAATCAAACGAGTGTTTCCAGGGACGCGAGTGGCAGGACCAATAGAGCGCCAGATCACAGAGTGGTGGCATCATAAGTGCCAGTAGAGTTCCGCACACAGCTCCTGTGAGGGACACAAACACTCCCAGACTTGGCAGTACCTCTACAGCTGTGACTGTAACATTATTTTATGGTCTTACACATGGTAAATAGCCCAGGCATATGTTTGGTCAACGAATTATTTTTGTTATTGTTCTCTTAGGTAAGCTACATTACAAAGCATATTGTGTGAACTACTTTTACCATCAATTTATATATAGCATCAATACCAAAAGCTCATAAATGTAATTAAGATTTCTGGTAAATCTCCTACATTTTTCCGCAGCCTCGATCAAGACTGTCCTTTTAACACTGCTTCATAATTTCAACACCTATCTGTGTCACAGTTTATTTACCGCACTAGTATTATCGTCACAAATTGGTACTTACAAGTAGCCAACGCTATGATGAGTCGGAGTGCCAGCTCGGCCAGGACCGTGTGCTGCGCAGGTCCATGCTCTGTCACCAGCTCCGGCCAGACCAGCATGAGAGCTATGTGGAACTGTAGAGTGTACGAGAACAAGAGTCCCAGGGCTATGGTCAAGTGAACAACCTCAGAACACCTGCAACAATTTTAAGGGAACTATCTCACAATTTACTCCTTTGTTACACCTCTCGCTTGAATATTTACACTTGGATTACTCCTCATGCTTCACTTAACACTTTTACTTACCGTAACCGCTAATTTAAAATAATTTGCAGCAGAAACTTTCATTCAGTTTCAAGTTATGTTTAAGATGCTTTGACTACTGATATAAGTAGAAATTGAATCCATGATGAAGCTAGAGTCTATAGTTTTAGAATATAATTAAATGAGACACCGGGGGAGTGTGTTGATATCAATTACTGATTTCTGTCAAATAATACTCAACTTTTTAACCATGCCAACCTGAAAGAAACACTTACTGCAAAATATAGCACATCTTATCTAATATCCAACTATCGTAGTAACAAAGAAAGTTAAAATTTGACAGTATATAGTTCTTTCACCAATGAGTGCTTTATTCTATTTAAATATTTTTTTTATGACTTCAGCTGGTCCATACAGACGTGATGACTAATTAAAAAAATTAAAAAATACTAACAAATACGTCTGTGAAAGGCTGTAGCTCAGGTGGTGGCTGGCGACGTCGTCTACGAATTTGATGAAGCAGATGAATGCGATGACAACAAACAAAGTCCCGACCAGAGCCAGTAAGACGATCAGCAGGTTACAATGTCTAAGAGGAGCCATGATTGGTGGAGTCGATCCGTTTAGTGGCCACGTCTGCAACGATAAATGTTTACTTACTATATTGTAATGTTAACATTTTTTGGAGGTTATGTTATCAAACTTTAACTGGAGGAGAGTTGGAAGATGTTGAGTGTAGCAGCTACTTTAATAAATAACTTGTGCGACTGCTTAGAATGTATCAATACAGTTCACTTGTACAGTACAAGCTCAGTCCTTGCTTTGCTGGATTCATTTGATAAATTCAGAACAGTTTAGTGGTTTTTCCTGGTTCAACTTATCAGTTTTTGAAATTTTGATTTTTTGGGGGGTTATTTTCCCCTTAACGGAAAAATAAGGTTTTAACAAAAACTATCTCCCGTAACCGATTTTGATTAAAATTTAGAATCTTATAGCCCTTTTAACTCTTAACAAAATGGTACAACTCCTCCTATTGCTGTAAAAATTACAGTTAAACTGTTCATTCAATTTTTGTGATTCAACCCAAAAAATACCATAGGTATTCACACCCCTTGCCCATGATAAGGTTGTTGACAAGCTACTAGGAGAAAGTATATGTCAGATTGGTGCATGATACCGTTTATTTGTATAGTTTAGCGTAATACCTTAGCTATTCCTTCAAAGCAGTAGATGGATGTTCCGAAAAACAGAGGTATCTGAGACCAGTGAGCGATTGTAGGTCGAGTAGTGATGGGTGGCAGGTCAGAAGAAGACACGTACAGCGTGAGGGCAACGGCACTGAATACAAACACACTGGTCAGTACGGAGAACAGGGTGAGAAACCTGGGAACACAAATGTTTAACATTTAGATTGGATTTGGCTACTTCTTACTTATTTTTTTTATTTCAATAACACCCTCATTTTAGAAACCCATTTAAGCTATTTATGTAAAATAAATCACAAACTTCACAACTAGTACCGAAGGTGGTCTCCTAAAGTTTGTTTGCTGGTTGTGTTCCCCTCGCTCTATAGAGCTTCAAACATGTTTGTTGATCTCAGCTGTCATAAAAAAACTACTTTCTGATAAAACAATGGAAAAGTGAAAAGTAGGTTATATTTTTCTTTGTATTTTTCTTAATCGATTATGTTCCATACCTCTCGCACATTTATTTTCAAAACATTGCAGCTACCATACTATACTCGGTTCATTAAATGTAGGCAGTTCTAAGGGAAGAAATTTATCCCCTCCATTTGATCGTCCCTTCAAAACAATAGTTTAACAGTTGAGTTTTGAGAAAACGTCAATCAGCTGCAACATATACATTATGCAAATGAGTAGTGGGCAAACTTACAGTCAAATAGCCTAAATTTTGTTAAAGAAACTATAGTGTAGCAATAAAAATAATAAGTATTTTTATCTATTTCATATGAAGCTTACCTGAGGTTAGCCATGAAGATTGTCAGAACTACTGGGAGGAAAATAATAACTATCATGAGATGCTCATCCATCACTATTCCATGTCTAGCGAGCATCCTCAGCAGCTGAAAAAACACAATGTCTCATTAGACGCATTTATGTCTAACATTAACAACCATCCAACTTTTCAATCGCTTAAAAAGTTAACTGCTTGTGGTAATCCCTGAAAGTATCCCTAGTGGAAGACATCAATAGAAATCAATAGAAAATATCTATTGATATCACTAGATACTTAGTGATATCAATAGATGTTCATGGATATCATTACAAGTAAATACAAACAAATAGACATCA